CTCAATAGATAAAATTTAACAGAGAGTTTAGGTCAGTTATTGCATTGTTTACAAAACACAGGATATTCAGTGAAGTCGGTTTAATTAAATGTCAGAAAAACTATAATATTTTAACAACAAAATCTCAAATRTAGGATTTAGTTAAACATCCAGTTAATTGTAGTTCTTTTTCTGTTCGTAATCTTTTAATGTCATGTTAGCTGTGAGATGTGTTTGTTTGTTTGGACGACACCCATTCAGTTTAATGAGTCAGCAGGATGAAACATGTTAGAAAGAGATGCTCAGTGTTTTTTTAACAATGCTGTGCTGGTAGGCATGTATGACCACAAATGATTTATGTTGCAAGTGTGGCACCTAAACCTTTACTCTTCATTTCTTCAGAGTAATACCAGCAGTGTTTACATATTTAAATCAAGCTCAAGGGGGACAAATAGCATCAAAGAATAAAACAATTACAAAATCAACAAAGATGTAAGACTGAGACATCTGTGCTGTCATCTGTCATTTAAATGTTTTACTGTGCACATAAATATGTTTGTTTACTGTGCAAATACACGTTTGTTTTATTTGGGAATGTTTTGCTGTTTACTCTATTTTCTTTTGATAGATAATTGTTGATTTTTACACTGATGTAGATTCTCTGTTATTCGGGGACATAGCAATCCCCTCGAAATATTAAAAAGCAAAACAAATTTCATTTTATTCTGTTGTAAAAGATGTTTTTCTTCCCATTTGAGGAGCTCCATGAGTTTATTCTGTCTCGCAATACCAGGGGTGTCAAACACGGCTACATAAGGAGGCCAAAGTTCAAAACTCGGTCCAAACCAAGAGCTAATTTCTGCCAATATTTATTCAAGAAATGTTCTGTAACAGATTTTTCTTTTAAAATACAAATGACGTTTTCCAGATTTAGTTTTATGTAGCATTTAGAACACGTCTAACCGAATGAATAAAGAAAAAACATTTCATTTAGAAACATCATTGGCATTTGTTTCTTAAACTTTACTATCTATCAAGAACTTTTTAATTTATTGTTTCTTAAAGATATGTTTGATCACAATTCAGCAAATTGAGTAAAAAAAGACAAAAAATCCAATTATTTGACTTTAAAATAAGAAACAAACAGAAAAATATATTTTAAAGTTGATTCTCTGCTCTTTCTACAATAAAATCAAAGATTACTGAAAAATTCAAACTTAATTTTCTTTACTTGAAAGT